ACACACACACACACACACACGCACACACACGCACACACACACACACACACACACGCACACGCACGCGCACGCACGCACGCACACACGCACGCACGCACGCACGCACGCACGCACGCACGCACACACACACATATACTCTTATGCTCAAACCACGCGCTATCGATTTCGAATTCGCGAGTTCGCTGACCTTGTGATGAGAGGGATGTCCCGTGTGATTGGCGGAGGTGTGATTTCCGGCGGGAATGGAAGCCAGCTCCTCGATTGTGAGCTCTGCCAAGGCGTCGTTCCCGCCGCTGCAGCCGCCTAGAAGACCGCTACCGACGACGCCGCCGATGCCGACGCCGCCGCCACCACCACCGCTTCCCGGACTGACGCCTCCGATGCAACCGCCATCCGATCTCGCGATCCCCGACGGCCGATTCTTCTGCACCCGCCTCGAGGTCACCAGTTCCTTCACCCCCGACAGCTCTCGCCGTGAGCCACCTACGTACCTACAAATCAATGCAAGCAAATGAAATGTCATTATTATTATCCGAAAAATAATGACTATTTAATCATACAATGCAATAAAATTTTAGTTCGTTTATTTGTGCAATGTGCATTCAATTAAATTAATGTGCAACATTAATTCATTAGAAGAAATATTATTATTTAAGGTATTTAAATAATTTTAATATTATATTAAAAGAAGTGTTTGCTTTTTTGTAATTATTTAAAATAGTTCTCTCTTATGTAGTATAAACTTTGCGTTAGTTTTTTCTATTGCATCATTATCATTATACTCGGAATACAGAATAATGTTTAATATACATACAATGTGCTAAAATTGTATTTGTATTTTTGTTTCTTGAGATTCTCACAGACAACCAACGATCATTACTAAAGCAAAAATATATTCAACGATCGTTTTAGATGATCTTTTTTTATTACTATGAATCTCTCGTTACTCTATTTTTGCACAGACTTTTTCTATTACATCGATTACGTTATTTTTTCCAAGCAGAAAGCATTAATCTGCATAAATATCTGCAATGTAAAATATATTTGTTCTATTTTTCCATCACTATTATTTCGTTATTTAAATTATGATGTAAAAAAGGAACATCATTCACAATAAAGAACTTGCATTTTCTGAAATAATGTATTACATTATTTTTTTAATAGAAACTAAAAATTAAATAGCTTGATTGAAACAACAATATTTGCTGATTTGGCATTTAAAAAAAAACATGCAATGATGCGATGGCATGAAAGAATATGATGGTTTTATTCAGCATCCGGATTTATGATGCACGAGACGCGTAAACGTTTTTTTTTTTTTTTTAATGTGGTATCCGTATATTGGCGTGAAAGCGATACGTGTCCTCTGCACGTAAATCACAATAATAATTATTAATTCTACATTCAAGAGAAAGGTTCTATTGCTTTTGTGCAACACGCGAGACTTGTCTACGGATATTTTTCCCGCAATTGTTAATATCGCGAGTTTTTATGTAATAGAGATGCTATGTTTTATTATGTGAAATATTATGAGTACTTTATTCATATAAATATGCGTATATATGCATAATTCAAATAATTCAACGGTGTTTATGTACTAATTTCTTTCTTCATCCATTCCGTATTATTCTCACTACCAATTTATAAATAAACTGAATTTAAAGTCAAATCAAGTAAAAAATCCGTCTTTCTCAAGGAAGAATTAAAATTACTGATGTATGGAGGAAAAAAGAAATATATATATATATATATATATATATAATACGATGAAACTCTTGCTATTTTGCTTGCTCTTGTTATTTTATAGAAAGTTCTATAAATTTATATTGCACGTGCCATTTTAGGTTGAGATCATTATTTTAATGGTTCTTACAGCGGCCAGTCGTTAAAAAAATGCCTCGTAAAAAAATGTGCTTAACCTCGACACTAAGTCGGGATTACAACCAAACTGATTCATGGGCTCGACATTTTGAGAGGAAAAAAAAGTTAAATTAAATTTCGGCGAAAGTACATAGAAATAAGAATTTGAGTGTGATCATAAGTCAGCACAAGTCTCGAAATTACTGAAATCTGCTCAATTAGTATTTACTAAAAAAGAAGAATTTTTGTTCTTCTTCCGTTTCCTTAATAATAAATGGACATTTCATGCAATTTATTAAATAAAATTCCAATCATTCAAATCTAGCAATTAAATTCTAAATCTTTTCATTTTCATAATTATTACATTTCTAAAAGAAGTTCAATTAAGCTACATTATTCAAGAATGTATTAATTTCTTTTAATAATAATTTTTTGTTTTATTTTAAGCAAAATTTAATTTTAAGATTGTTATTTTTATCTATTTATATTACTCTCAAGTTTTAATGTGCTAAGTCGATATAGTAAATTGTAAAGAAACGTATACTCATTTTCACCAATGTAGTTTATTTTCATCTCGATTTAATTAAATCTTCATCTTTTTTTTAGTTTTAAAAATTAGAAAAAAATAGTAAGTTGAATTGAGATTAAAATGAATCTATATTGATAGAAATTGGGCATTTTCATGTTCTGATTAATTTGTGGTTAAACTTAACCTGTTGATAATGTAAAAATTGTATGTTTTTCTTGCTATAGCTAAATCGATAGTTTTGTAGTGAGAGACTTTTAAAGCTATCACACTACAAAACCATTCATCTGGTATTAATCATTGCTAAAAAAAACATAATTTTTATATTAACAAGTTAAATGAGATTAAATTTAAACTGTTAGTTAACTAGAAAATGAGAAACTGGGCCTTACCATCCTTTCATCAATAGCGATCAAAATTTTTTTTGTTACATTAGCTTTTGAATTGTATCATTTCCATATTCGATCAATGAGCTCGCTGATCACTTGGTACAGATTAAATATTTGCAGAAAGCTTCCTAACTAGTGACGGAACTTTCGAGTATGCGTGCGTAACTTTGCTCTTACAGGAAACTATGTAGTGAAACTTCAAATGTCAATTTCTTGAATTCATTACTCGTGAAACTTTCTGATTACAAGAACAATTAGCATCAATAATTAAAAAGCTGCCAGCGACGGAGGACAAATCCGAGAAAGGAAAACCTCGCGAAAATCATCTGGGAACGCAAGAAAGTTTTAACTAGAACGTCATTGTAATCATAATACTATGCCGAAGTTTAATTTAATTTGTCATTGAGGAAAAAGCAATCATAAATTGATAAAGAAAAGGATAATTTTTCAGAAAATAAATCCTCTACAATTTATTTTTTAATTTTTAATGCTTCAACTTTTAACGAATTCATTTTTTGCAAATCGAATTCTATGATTTATAAAATTTTAACAAATATTAAAAGATCTGCCTTTATAACAAACATGATCTTTACAACATCGCGACGAGCATGAATTTCATTGAATCCTAACGTCACATCTAATTTCGAGATATTATCTTATATATACTGTAACAGAATTTGGCAAAGAAAAAAAATATCCTCTGCATACAGAGAAATTACTTGGGAGAAACTCGTGATTTTAGTCATCGCAAAGTTTGTAACTAGAATTTAAAGATGAATCTTATAGAAAATAACTATCGCAAAAGCAAAATAGTTACAGCATATAAAAAAAAAACTTAGATAAATGTGTTATATCGGATTGTATTATTAAATCACTATTATAAATATTCGGAAATAATGAATTGAAAATAATAACAATCAATAAATATTAAATAGTTTCCATTTTCTAAAAAAAATAGATTTCTCAAGTTTTAATTCAAGTCTCAAGTTTTACTTATTACGGACGTATGTAGTATGTCAAATTTGTACTATTTTTTATCATAAACTACACCTAGAAATTATAACAAGGAATACAAAGACAAGAAAGTGTTTTTAATATTTTTTTATTGAATTTCAATTAATAAAAAATTTTGATTGAACTTTCTTTATCACCACAAATAAACGCTAAAGTACTTTTTGCTTGAGAAAACGCGATTGATATATTTATGCCATTTGAAAGCCCTTCCAATTTTTCCATCTTCCACACCCCGTCTTCATCCCTGTAGTCAACGTTTCAAGCCGGTAGAAAGCTTTGAACAAACAGGAACACGAGATTACCGTTCAGCTTGAGCCGCCGCGTTTCCTCCAACGAATTCCGAATATCTTTCTTGGTCTTCCACCTTTGCTATTTAGGACACTGTCACACCGAGGAAATCAAAAGAAATTACTCCGAGCGATGGTTTCATCGCAAATGAAGCCGAAATTATCACCGGTAACTTTGCGTATATTTGACGTCGACATCGATGAGGACGACACTCCCCACCCTCGGCGATTCAGCACGTACTCTCTTGCCTCTGTCGTTGGGAAAGCAACCCCGCCGCGAGACAACCCCTCGAACCGCCCTGGAAATAACACACCGACACCGTCAGATCGCGCCACCGCGCAGCGACGTCGAATCGATCGCCATGACGTCACGGCGTCCACGCAAGCGTCGCAACTACTGCGAATAAATATTGTTTCGTCTCCGCCACGGTTCGTCTACTAGATGAATGGATCTTGGCGTTCTGAGAAGTGTCTAAAGAGTCTCTAATTATGTTCATATCTTTATGCAATAAAATATACCTAAATGTTCGAAAAAAGAAAGAAGATTATATATGTAATATTCTGGTATATAAAGGAAAGTGCGAAAAAAGACTATTCATAGCCTAGAGATACAGAATCTAAATTAATCATTACGAAAACTGTTTATGGGATTCTCTAAAAAATAAAAAATAACAATTATTTAACCACCAGGCATGGGATATGGGGAAAATTTTAAAAAATTGAAATTTATTATTGCGCTGAAATAGTCATATGCATGAGTGTTTTTAAATTTTGATTGTACCCTTTAAAATAAAATCAATTGCATTTATGTATTGAAAGATGAGTATAAATAAGAATATGATTTTTTTTATTCATGTAAAATACAGGATGTCCCATTTAAGTCTCCATTTAAATGCTCCCAGTAAATATGTATTTCAAAAGATCTGAAAGATATGAAAAAATGTTTCAATCGAAAGTATAAAATAAAAGGGAACAAATAATAATATTAATAATATTAATTAAAAAAAAAATTTTTTTTAAG